GTCCGTCTTTTCTCACCCGTCCGTTCTCTTTCGCGGTCGCGGCAGGTGGCGGACCTCAAGTACCACGCGTTACCCGAGATAGAGCAGCGCCTGGCCCAAGTCTCGGCCGAGATCGAGGCCAAGCGGGGGGACGCCAGCCAGTCAGGTGGGGATTTCGAGGAGGGAGGGCCGGAGGGGGGGTCTGAAGGACAAGGCGCGCGGGGTCTGGAGGCGCTCACTCCCTCCCCCTCCCTTCCTTTGCTAAGACATGGTGCGGGAGATGGTGAACGAGCAGAGCATCGCCGAGGTAGTGAGCCGCTGGACCGGCATCCCAGTCAACAAGCTGACAGCCTCAGGTACGCGCTCCTCCCTTCCTCCCTCCCTCCTTCCCTCCCTTCTCGCCCGCCTCCCTTAGCGTGCTCCTCTCTCCTCCGCCTTGGCCCCCTTCGCCCGAGCCAGCTTGCGCTGGCATCCCTATCATTATCTTGTGTGGACTCTCACCCCTCTTCCTTTACCTCAGAGCGACAGAAGCTCCTCTCCCTGGCAAGCGTGCTGCACAAGCGCGTGGTCGGGCAGGAGGAGGCGGTGGAGGCAGTAGCGCAGGCAGTCCTTCGATCACGTGCAGGTCTCTCCAGACCAGAGCAGCCGACGGGCAGCTTCCTTTTCTTAGGTGTGTCGGAGCGTGCCGGGAGTGGGCTGTGAGCTAGTGTAGGGGGAGGAGGGGGGAAAGCGGGCCATTGGCTGGTTGCTGTGCTCGGTGCCGATGCGAGTGAACAAGCGCTCACGCGTGGCTGGCACTCACAGGGCCCACGGGTGTGGGGAAGAGCGAGCTGGCCAAAGCCCTGGCGCAGGAGCTGTTCGACGACGAGAAGCACATGGTGAGAGGGCGGGTCCCGGGGGCGACAAGGACGACAAGGATGCTCACCAGTCCCCGCCTCTGCCCGGTCTCTCTCTCCCCTCCCCTGGGACCCTTTGGGCTCTGTAGGTTCGCATCGACATGAGCGAATACGGGGAACAGCACAGTGGTAGGGAGGGAGGCCGATGGCCGGGTCTCTGGGCGGGAGGGGGAGGAGGGGCAGCGGTCCTTGTGCCCCTTGGGACCCGTCTCACCATATTTCTATTTCTAAACCTATGTCTCCCTCCTGACTCGATCGTCGCTCTCCGAACCCAGTCGCGCGACTTATCGGAGCTCCTCCCGGCTATATTGGTGAGTGCGCGGGGGGAACGTTTCTGGCTGTGCTTCCGGATCTGGACAGGGAACGCGAAGAGAAACTGCGCGATGGTGGAACTACAGTTATTAAGCATCCAGTACACACGTATCTCCTCCACAGGCCACGACGAGGGCGGGCAGCTGACGGAGGCCGTCCGCCGCAAGCCGTACTGCGTGGTTCTCTTCGACGAGGTGGAGAAGGCTCATGTGGTGAGTGCCCGCCTTGCCCGCCCCTGTCGTACCTCAGTTCCCCCACCGCCAGGGCCTGCGTCTCACTTCCCCTGGCCCCGCACAGAGCGTTTTCAACGTGCTCCTTCAGGTCCTGGACGACGGGCGCTTGACGGGTGAGTGGGAGGGCCAGCGGGCGCTGTCCATGGTGGTGGGATCCGGGGTCGAATTTTCGCGTTAAGGGGACAAGAGATCCGATCGGAGAGACGCCTAGACCTGACCGTGTCTGGCATGATGGCAGTGTGGTCCCTGCTTACTCCCCCCTCCCTTCCCCCGATCCCCCCCCCGCAGACTCGCAAGGACGGGTGGTGAACTTCAAGAACACCATCATCATCCTCACCAGCAACTTGGGCGCCGAGTATCTGCAGAAGGCGGCGCTGGACAGCTCCTCGGGTGAGACCCACGGCCCATCCTCGCTGCCCGTCCCCGGCCTCCGGGTATCCTCACGGGACTCCACCACTTCCCCCGACAGGTCTCCTGAGCGACGACGAGGGCAGCCACAACGGCGGCCGCAGCAACAAGAAGAGCAAGAAGGAGGGGGGCGGGGCGATATCCCAAGAGGTCCGGGACCAGGTCATGGCCGTCGTGCGCCGTCACTTCCGGCCGGAATTCCTGAATCGGTGCGTCTTGGTCCAGGCCCCGGTAAGGCCGAGCCCGCCTCTCTCGTCCCTCACACGCGTCCCTCCGTTTCCTCCTTGGCTCCCAGGTTGGATGATATCACCATCTTCAGCCCCTTGACGCGGGACCAGCTCCGCTCCATCATGCAGCTGCAAATGTCGGCAATCTCGAACCGGCTGAAGGACCGGAACATCGAAATCCAGCTCACAGAGCACGGGCTGGACCACGTCCTGGCCAAGGCCTACGTGCCCGAGGTGAGTGACTCGGACATGGGGTGCTGGAGCGTGAGTTTGGGGAGAACGCCTCGCCGGGGTGAAGGTCAGGCTTGGTACGGGAGGCCGGACCGGACTTGTCGAGGCGCAGATCTGGGTCCGTGCCTGGCATGCGCGTTGCTCGCAGGGATGGGATGGGCTGCAAGGGCGTGGACCCTAGGGACCCTTTCCTCAATGCTCCCCCTCCCCTTTCTTTGCAGTACGGCGCCCGGCCCATCAGGCGATACTTGGAGAAGACCATCACCACCCAGGTCTCTCGCCTCCTGATCGGAGGCTCACTGGACCGGGACCAGACGCTCACGATCGACGCCGAGAAGGGCGAGACCGAGGGCTGGGCGGACTCGGAGCTCCTCTTCAAGGTGGTTCCGCGTGCGGCCGTCGGGGCCTCGATGGAGGTAGACGAGAACCAGGCGGCGCCTCCCTTGTTCCGTCCCAGCCCGGGTCGAGGCAAGTAACGCGGGTGAGGGCGGGGAGGAGGGAGCGTGGGCCCGGTGGGGGTGCGGAGAGGCATGCAAGAAGGAGGAGGCGGGAAGCCGCAAGAAGGGGCGAGGCCGATGGCAGAGACGCGAAAGGCTTTTGAGGAAAGAGTCGCAAGGCGGAATTAGAATTAAGGACATGACCGATCGCCTAAGAAGCAGAATGAGGTCTTAGATTGTAGTTGGGTGGGAGGAAGGGGGGCCCGGGGTCGAGGGCGGTGAGCTGACTGGGCGTGTATTTGGAGTCGGAATTATCGCGAAGAGAGGCGCAGACGATAAGAGTATTACAGTGCATTAAATTTGAGAAGAAGTGGGCTTTTTAAATTCGATTTTGACATAAAGAAAATGTCTATACGTGACCGCTGGACGCCTTCAGATTTCCTTTTTATGGTAGTTTCTTTCATGTCCCGTCGGTTGAACATCACAGGACGCGTCCATCGTAGGTTGACTCGAGGCGCCGGCATGGATCGATACCCTTCGAGCAGATCCCTTTCTTAAGCGCTGGTTTCTACATGGGCCGGGCTCGCAGTTCCGTCAGCCAGAAGTTGGGCGCGTAAGGCCTCCCTGAGCCGCGGGAACGTCGGAGTCATGAAATGCCCCTCGCTCTTGTAGGCGAAGAGCGTACTTCCTATCCCCTCGTGCACAGCTTGCTGCTCTTCCCACGGTATGAAGGGGTCATCGGCGCTCCCAAACTGGAGAACGAACCCTGCATTGGCCTTTATTTCCGTCCATCGCCAGGGTCGATTGTAGTACCCACTAGCTCGCTCGTTGGCGTCGCCCAAGTCTGTCACGCAGGCAGAGACTAAGACCAAACCGGCCACGCGATGGGACTCTGCAAAGCGCATGGCGGCCTCCGCACCACTCGAGTGGCCAATGACAACCGTGGACGCGTCGCATTTCAAGCGATCTTTCATGAATGGCAGCCAGACGCTCTCGCGCGCAGTATAGGGGTCTGGCATGTTCTCCAGTTGGACCTCCTCTATCCCAGGCAGGTCTGCTAGAGCCCGCTGTGCCCAGCCATACCAGTTGGCGCGAGTCACCTCCCCTCCCCCGTTCCCGGGGACAATGACCAGCCGTCGTGTGGATAATGCCATCTTGGGCGCAGAGGAGAAAGCTAGCAAGCGTCGAGCGATAAGAAGCACGATACAAAATGGTAATAAGGTGGATTTTCTGGACATCAAGACCAAGCCAGCCTTGAGATTTGTTGAGACGGCAGTGTCGTTGTGGGCTTGAACGGTTCCCCGGGAGAAGGGGAGGAGGTTAGAATGCTGGGTGAGGGCACTCCCACTCAAGCAACAAAGCGAAATGCACGCATCCAGGTTCGAACATGCATGAGGGAGGACTGTTTTTCATCTGAACGAACAGCGCATTCGAATCCAGGCCTGCTGACGGGCGGGGTGTGTCCAGCGCGATCATATTGTGATGGCAGCGACCCTGCGGAAAAACATCGCCGGGACTCGCCCACTCCTTCACCTTCACATGTAATGCTTCAGGCTATGCGCGCATTGGCCTCATCCCCTTGTCTACCTCCCCGCAATCCTTCCCCCACAGATGCCTCCCAAGCTACGCACGTACCTGGAGCCGTACGTGCCGCCGTCCACTCACTGGGAGATATCGCCGTCCTCGCCCGGCCCTTCCTCCTCCCCCACCGCCTCCCCTCCCCCCCACGAGGAGGAGCTATACCTATCACCTGACCACCTCCGCGTGATTTGGCGGCCCCTTGGGGGTCCCAGCGTCTACAAACAATGGAGACAGCCTAGTCCCGTCCTCCAGGCCCTCTGGGCCTACTTTTCGTTGGATGGGGGCAGGGCGCGGTGCATGTGCGTGCTTCGAGACCCCGAGTTGCTGGTGGTCTATCCTCCCGACGGCGACATATATGAGGTCCCCCTGCCCTGCCAGGCCCAGGCCATCTTTGCGCTCGGCAAGGATGGGCTGCTCATACAGCGGCAAGCGGCCGAGTGGGAGGCAGAGGGCCTCCATGGAGAGGGGCGAGGG